TATATATATATATATATATATATATATGAGACACAATGTTTGTAAAATACATGGTTTTCTGTGGGTCTAAATTTTATTTCCCATCATTAACTAGCCTTCTTCTTTAAGTAATATGAATATATGACTATGCTTCGATAAACAAATTGATTACTGACTTTTTCAACCGGTTTCACATTATCATGAAGACAATTGAGTTACACGTCGAAGACAAATAAATGATCATGATCTTTAAACAACCGGTAGGCTAAATGGACACATATTACTATATATATACACACGTATATATAGTTGGGTTTCAATAAAAGTTATGATGAAAAATGTAAGAAGGGATCTATATCCTTTAATCAATATCAATTAAAAAAAGAACCACTTAGATCAATTTTTTTAAAGTGCAATTCACGAGTTGTTTTGGGATCAAAAGTGATCAAATGTCTAAATCTTTTCTTATACTTTTCACATTAACTTTTATCCTCACACGATCCTTCGTGTGTGTGTATGTATATATATATATATATATAGAGAGAGAGAGAGAGAGAGAGGGGAGGTGAGTTATTATACAAATTTTTACATTTGTACAACCAATACAACTCAATCTCAACTGTCTATTTTGATGAATATATGATCTCATAAAAATTTTGATTGTTTCCTAATATAAAGTATTGATCATAATTAATAAACTCTAGTCATCTTCCATAAATATTCAAATCATAATAAATGAACTCTCATCATTTTCGTAAATATCTTAATTGATTGGGTTGCATTGGTTGAACAAATGGACATAGTTTCATTTGAAATATACCATATATATACACACAAACGACAAATCAAATGCAAACTATCTAAATGTTACCAACTTGCAAACCAATATTTATGAAAATAATAAAGGTTCATTTATTATAATTTAGATATTTATGAAATATCATTAGAGTTCATTAATTATGAATTCATGATCAACATTTTATATTAAAAAACAATTGATAGATTTATAAAACCAGGGATTCGTTAGACTAGATGGATGGTTTGTAACATTTCCATGGTTTTTGTGTGTGTGTGTATATATATATATTATATGTATATATACATATGTATGTATATATACATACATATGTATGTATACGTACATATGTATATATATATATATATATATAGGTTATTTGGGAAGTGGTAAATCTTCGAGAAGTAAAGAAGTGATCCCGGTTAGTGTGAAGAAAGCACTGACTAGTGTATATCTAAAAGATATGGTAATGATTTGTGCGTTATGAATTTGGTAGTAAGGTGTTTATGTGATTAAGTTAATGGTTTGGTATGCTAAGGTAGACGTGTAAGCCATTCATTTAATATCGAGTTTTGCCGTTATGTTAAGTGATGACATTGGGTTCTTATTGTAAGATGTGTTATGATCTGAGTTCTTGTTGGAATGTTCTTAGTGGGTATTCAAGGTTGATAAGTAAAATCGATTTAGATATCGAAAATTGTAGGCTTCGTATGTTTATGTTGGAATGAGAAGAGGAGGTTTCAATAGGATTTAGTAAATTCTTAAATGAATGATTCATGTTCTTATTTGGATAAGTTATATTTATGGATGAGCTTTTTTTTTTTATTAATCTGGATATCCAACCCGCTATGCTAGCCGACTAATTCCAAGGCGACCACCTGCTTTGCAGATAGCCCGAAGTCACCACATTTGAACCTTCATGGCCACAAGAGGGTTTTTAATCCTCCTTGGATTTGAACCGGATACCTCCTGATACTTTTGACCTTTGGAGCCAAGCTCAAACCAATCAGGCACCACCCTTGTGGTTATGAGTTTATTTTTTCCGACTTGACATTGATGAGAATGTCAGACTTGGTTGGTTAATCGTGCTTAGTAGTAGATTTAAGGTTTTGAATTAAAATGTTGAAATATTCCTTGTGTGTAAAGGAATACAAGTGGTTCAGTTAACTCCTTTGGAGATCGAGAAGTGCGAAGTATTTTGGAGCATTGAGTATTGTTCGTGATGATTGGGTGTTATTGAGAATAACATGTTTGTTCGTTAAGAAACTCATAGTTATAAATATAAGAGAGAAATTCAAGGATGACTTTGTGTTAATATTGTGAATTA